GTTTTGCAGCATAGTCTACCACGGTCTACTGTATGAACTGGTAATCATCGCGATGTCCTCTCGCTCTCCGCAATTTTACTGTCAATGTTCACCGTCATGATTCCCGGTATATTCTGCCCAGTGCCGAAGGAGCAAGAGGAGCGTCTACTGTACTGTCGTCGACTTGACTTACTTCCCCTAACCAGCCGCAGCTGTATCCTGTCTGCTGTGTAAACTCTGTTCTGGTGGTTCATTACTCTCCCTGTGCTTCTCGTAGCATATATCTGCGATGTGGTAACCCTTGCATATGGTAGAGCTGCCCGGGGTCTATATCGTCCTCTTTATAGTAGTCGTATTTCTTTCCTCATTTCAAGCTCTTTTTTCTTATTTTAGGTATTATATCTGGCCCCGCTCTTTGCACTATTTACCTTTCTCTCTCTCGTTGTAGTAGTAGCAGCCACCTATCTCTGATGTCGACGGAGTTATAGCCTCACTGTCTCTTTGGGTGCTTCTGAGCCGGCTATTGTACGTTTGAGGGCGATCGGCTGCTAGCCCGTAAAGCCCGGCAATAAGCATTGCGTTGCGTTGCGTTGCCTTTTCCTAGACAACGCTCTCTCCATTTACTCCAAGAGGTACATTGATGTAAGTGTACCGCTGTTTCTTGGCCCTTACCACAGTACCGGCACGTTGTTGGTCCGTGCTTCCAGTGTGCCACGAACGCCCTCAGACAGCTGTGACCTGTCAGTGCGTCGCATACCAGCTTACGGTCCTCCATTGTCCGCGCGGCTTGGCGCAGGCGCGCACACTGCTTGAGGTCCAACATTATTCCTGTTTCTCTGATCTTCAGCGAAGGGCGTGAGGTCCTCCACCTCCATTCTTCTTCTTCTTTAAATTTACATCGAACCTGTCGAGCCGTATAAGATTCTGGGATGCCTACTTTCACTTCTCTGCTTCTCTTCCTGCGGCCTCCTAGCCTCGCCAGGACGTCCGCGATCTCGTTTCCTAGACAAGCGTTATGGGATTTCACCCATTGGATGACAATACTGTCGTAGGAGTCAGAGGCGTGCTCGAGAGCCTCCCGAGCAGACTGTACAGACTCACTCTCTAGCTTACTCGGGTTTATCACTGCCCGTATAGCGGCTTGAGAGTCGCTATACACAATTGCTTTTCTAAGCCTGTTATCCTTGGTATTCGCAAGCCTGATGGCGGCGTTTTCGATTCATTTGAGTTCGCCTTGCATTACTGTTGCATAACCTGGGAGTCTGGTATAGGAGAACCAAGAAACATCTGTGCAAAATCCATTTGAGACCAGTTCAACTGTACCCGACCCTACACGGCCGACTAGGCCTTTCTCGTTTATCCTGCTACCATCACTGAATAGGTGCCTCTCCGTGGGTGAAAGGCAGTGCACAAGGCCGTCTCCAATAACAGCCGTTATACCCCTGGGTATTCCGCCTTTCGGAGGGAGCTTGCGGTCTATTCAATAGACTCTATTGACGTGTCTGCAGGGATGTGTGTGCTCGTCCCGAGCGCTCCCCAACGTCTGAGAGCTTTCTTTTCGGATGGTCCGATTTCCCATGTCCTATGCAGCCACTGCCGAGCGGCTCTTATTCTAACTGCCTCAGATAATGGCTTAAGTCCACTGATGCGGTAAACAATAGCCGTTGGCGCACTCCTCAGTGCACCCCACATAAGGCGGCTCATAAATCCTTGCAACTGGATACATTGCTTTTCAAACCAGCTACTTCCCCAAAAAGACTCCCCCAAATGGGTGCGCCAAAAGCGAAACGAGGTCGAACAATGGTATTCCATATCCAATGAAATTGCTGGGTGCCAAGGCCCCATCGTCGCCCCACGAGAGAGCGCAAACGGAGCGTTAGCTTGCGGATGCGAGCAATAGACTCGCATACGTGCATTTTCCAGCTTACCTTCTGGTCTAGCCATAATCCTAAGAACTTAATGCACTTTTTGACAGAATCGGCTAGATCGTGATGTCCTCTATTTTGCAGGATTGAAGCCACCTCGCTAGTCCAGGTATCAACCCAGATTTCGTTCTTGTCCTTTGAGAGCGTTAAGTCAACATCAGAAGCCCAGTTTTCCATGATTCTCCATACTCGGGTGATTAGTCCTACAAGGCTGACGATGCCTGGGGCTTTAATCGCAATGGCCGAGTCGTCTGCGTACAGTACTGGTCTAACGCTTATGCCACGAGAGGGCTCGTTCAGCAGCTGCAACTGCTTACCGAGATCTAAGGTGGTGTACACATATAAACGAGGGGACAGGATGTACCCCTGCTGTATACCCTTTACCGAGTATCGCCGTGCACCGCCCGTGCAGGACCACTGACCTGTCAGAAACGAGCGTACAAGCTCACTGAAGCCGGTGTAGGCTAGGCGTTCAATGGCGACGCATATAGCTCTGTGACTGATCGAGTTGAAAGCAGCCACAGCGTCGAACGCAGCAACTCCCCTCACTGCAGGCGAGTTCCTGTGACTTTCGAGAGCTGTTACAAGATCCTTCCAAGCTGTATCGGTCGATCGGTTGGCAACGAAGCCATGAACAAAAGACGGGAGCTCTCCTATAACCGCTTCGAGGCAATTAGCTATCAACGCCTCGCATACTTTTGCGAGAGTCAGGGAGAGCGATATGGGTCGAAACTTGGACCACCCAGTCCGCCTGCCTTTCTTCCTCAAAAGAACAACCTCCGCACCCTGCAGGCACCTCGGAAAGAACTGGAAATGAAGAACAGCGTTCATCAGCTTGATTAAACTATCGGACCAACGGCCGTTCTCGGCCCATGCTCGGCGAATGTGCTCGTATGCTACATCATCTTTGCCGGGTGCTCGACCCGTGGATCTGGCATCCACGATTCTGTCCACTTCCTCGTGTGAGACTATCCCTCCCATATCACTGATGGGAACCTGTATACTGGAAACATATGGATCGGGCAGCGTTACGTTCCCGAAGAACGCCGAAGCTGCAGCTTCAGCATCAACGGACTCTATATCGACTGGAGCCTCTTCTAGGAAGGTTTTCAGGGCGCGTCTGTCATCCAGTTTACTAGCCCACTCAGTGAAGCTTTTGCGTTTTGCTTTCTTGATCGCGTGTGAGTAACGTCTCTTAGGGATCCTCAAGGATTCGGCAGAACTGTCAATGCCAGGGCCCCCTCGTATCCTAGCCTTCCTCATTTCAGCTTGCTTCAGAGTACACTCACGCCTCAGACGTGATAGTTCTGTACTCCACCAATGAGCGTCGTTGTTTCTTTTCTTCGGCCCACTCGACACTGGTGTTGATAATCTGACTGCCCTAGAAATTACCGCTAGAACTCGCTCCGCAAGTATTTCGGTTTCGTCAATCGAGTTTGGCGGGGGCGACGTACCCATTTTCTGAATCTCCACTCCGAATTTTGCCCAGTGAGTCTTGCTCGCATAACGCCGGCTACGGCGAATGCGGCCCCCGCAGAACTTCCGTGTGGTGTTGGGTGAGCTCGAGTCCCAATGCACTTCCCATGATAGTGCACAGTGATCCGAAATAAGGTTTTCAAGGGCCTCAGCTCTCGAGGATCTGAGAGACCCAGATACACACGCTGCATCAATCCACGAGATGTCTCCTCTGGCGTTATGGAAAGATGGACAATCCTTGTTCCCATTCACAACTTCCAGGTCCCATTTACTGAGGAACAGCTCGACTGTTTCCCCTCTATCGCACATTCTTGGTGCAACTAAACTGACTCTAGGGTGCCACAACGCCGATGCTGAGTTTGTGTCTATCCCCATGATTATTCCGTCGGAGGATCGAGCATCCATGACTGCCTCAGATATGCGTTCTAGGACCGCATCTGGTTCACTGTCACAAGGAATGTAGAGTGAAATACAAGTTAACCAGCGGTTGTCGTGGAAAAGATCTAGAGCAACGAAATCTATACCCGGTACTACGC